CCCCCCCCCCCCCCCTTTCAACAAGAATTACTTTATGCACTTACCCTGTTGTCCTGTGTTGCTGTAATAATCTGCTTTTGATGTTACTGTAAGTTATATTGGTGTCACTTTGGAACTTAGTTCCAGTGGTTGGCTGATTGTGCATTATTCTGCAGGGGAAGAAGGCACAGGGATGAAGGTTATGAAACGAGATAGTGACCGCCAGCTTGCAGCTCCAGCATCCACCATTGCTGAAGAGGCAGTGGACCAGTTGCAAGCTAGTGAGAAGCTGATTGCTGGTGAGTAACATACAGCTTTCTTTATTTTCATTCTTAATTTATAAGAATATTGATTCAAACTGTGTTGACGTTATTCTGTGTGTATAACATGGAAGTTGAAACAGTGTTGCCAAATGACAGGAATATATATAAGAGTTAAGCACTTGTTTAGTCTTCTATCCATTTGATATTAGCAGCTCTTTTTGCGTAGGGAAAAGAATCTATATCATGAGGCTGTTGTTGATACAGTATTATTAAATAACGCATAATTAACTGTTGTTGTTGTTATAGAATTGAATGAAACGTGGGAAGAGAAGCTGAAGCGCACAGAAACGATCAGGCTGCAGAGAGAGGCTGTGTTTGCAGAAATGGGAGTTGCAGTCAAAGAAGATGGAAACACAGTTGGTGTCTTCTCTCCAAAGAAGGTTGGCACATTCATACTTTATGCACATGTATGCAATCTAGACTTCAGTTTACATTTTATGTCTGGTTTATGGTTTGTTAAAAAGAAGAAGCTGACTAGTGACCTTGTTGTGGGTAAATGTAATATTTGGTTGAATTACTTTGAATGATGAACTGGAAGTTAAGGGCAGTCTTGGCCTAATGTAAGGCACTTAGCATTTTCCTGGTGAAACTACATAAAACTGTCAGGATAGCCAGCTTCTAAATTTAGAATGATATACAGGACTTTCCAAATACAAAATACCTGCAATGTTTTACTGGTGTGCAGTGAAATCAAATGTTGAGAACTTTCATTATGTGAATACTGTATTGAAACCACTATTATATGAAATCTTTAGTTAACTTATATAGTGCCAAGAAAAGTTTTGTCACTGGTAAGAATGTATATGCAGTACCAGCATTGATCACGTTGATCCTCCATATCCATTTTGTATTACTTCACACATGTGGCACCTGATGATAAGGTGAAAAACTAGGCCAGTGAGAAATAGGAATGTTTCTTGCTTGAAGAATTAAGCAGAAGAAATTCAATGCAAATTGCATTCTAAAAACGTCAGTGCAAATTGTGTAGCATTTATTGCATATAATAAATCTTTGATTGCTTATACTAAAAGGATTAATTTGCATTCTATTCATGGTGGAACAGAAGTAGGCTTGACAGTTCATTTATTACAAGCTACTCAGTAGGTAGTATTATCTTGTGATAATTTATTCCAGACTCCACATCTCGTGAATCTGAATGAAGACCCCTCAATGTCAGAGTGCTTACTGTACTACATTAAGGATGGTTTCACTCGTGTCGGCTCTGCGGAAGCCAATATTCCACAAGACATCCAACTCAGTGGTTCCCATATTCTCAGTGAACACTGTGTTTTTGAGAACCATGAAGGAGTTATCACCATGACACCTAAAGAAGGGGCACTCTGCTATGTCAATGGCAGGGAAGTGAAGGAAACTGTTGTTCTCAAGACTGGCTCTAGAGTGATTCTCGGCAAGAACCACGTCTTCAGGTTCAATCACCCTGATCAGGGTAGGTTGGAGTGTTCACTACTGAAGTGATTTAATGATTTTTCATATCTCTAACTGCTGATCTAATTCTTGAACTTAATATTTTATCTCATTGTGAATTTGTTTGTATTTTCAGCTCGTGAGCGTCGGGAGAAAACATCACCAGCTGAAAATTCAGGTATAGAAGAAACATATTCAAGCTCCTCAAGTTATTACTTGTACTTATTTGAGGAAAAATCAGTTATTAATTCATCACCTATTGTAGGGATGTCCACCTTAATCATGCTTCAGCACCAGTTTCTTGTCTGATTGTTGTCATTAGATTCAAATATTCTCCCCAATAATTTAATTTCAATACACCCTCTTACCATATGTCCATAAGCATCTCTTTTCTTATGCAATTTTCAGTGGATAAATAGGATATTATTTTTTCTATGGGTTTACCATATAAAATCAGTTTTAAAAATCTTCCAGCTCCAGATCATACTGAGAAAACTTCTCCAGCTGAAACCCCAGGAAATGGAGAAACTGTGGACTGGAACTTTGCACAGATTGAGCTGCTGGAGAAACAGGGAATTGATCTAAAGGTAGAGATGGAAAAGAGGCTTCTTGTGCTAGAAGAACAGTTCCGTAAAGAGAAGGAAGAGGCAGATCAGCTCTTTGAAGAGCAGCGCAAGGTGAGGTCTTGATATAACTTCACTTGTTAGTAGTTTTAAAAGTCACTAAAACTCAATCTCTGTGATAGTTTGTCATGTATTGTCTTTTAGCCAGCATAGATTTGCTTCTATGGAAATGTAGATAGGTTTTATCAGATGATTATGAGGACAATCATTCTACTTGAAACTTGCTTTGTTTCTGAGGTTAATATTAAAGTACATCAAGGGCAAGGGTGTTGTGAGGATATTAACTGAATTGAACTGGCTCAGGATCTTGGGCTTTGATATTAGCACTTTGGACCTTGCTTTATATTACTGGTGAACAGTTATTCAGTCAGTGGGTGTGGTTGATTTGATTTGGTGTATGTCTTATCCAGTTCTGTGACATAAATATAAAAGATGTGGTGATTTTCTAGAGCTATGAAGCAAGAATTGATGCACTTCAAAAGCAAGTGGAAGAACAGAGTATGACAATGTCCATGTACAGCTCTTACACCCCAGAAGACTTTAACAATGAAGAAGATATATTTGGTTAGTATCAAACACAGAGTATATCTAGTGCCATAGCAAGGTATTTTTGGCTTCTACACTTTCGCCTGTATTAGGTACTGCAGTTCAGAGATAATTACCTTATAAATATACAAATTTAGTAATCGGTAGGAAATTTAGTTATAGCACTGTATAATTATCTTGGATCTGTAGGCACATATTGTAATTAAATGAACCAAATGACTTGAAATTTCTTTTGTAGAAGTGCATGACATTTTGCTGCTGATATGTGTGCTTTTCTGTACAACAAATTTTCACATGGAACTCATCTAATCTCCCAGAAGTACTGACCTGGCCACATGCAACAGCTGCTTATGGTCATTTGAGAAAGAACAGCTCAGCATAAATCTCATGCACTTTGTTGCTGAGTTAAAGTGCAAGATTCACAATATGTTTAACAGAACTACACCTGTAATGCACTGATAGGCTTCCCAGCACAGTTTGCGATGAATGCAATTATGTGTTGATAATAACATTAATCGTACCAAGTCGTTGGACAGCTAAGTGCTATGTAGAGAGTGGTGAGACATCTTTTAGTTCCACAACATGTGCATAGACATCAGTGTCATGTTCCTTTGAAATTAAAATGTTGCCGTTCTAAATCCATACTGTTGTGTTATGCCTTCTACACCATCCATTCACTACTTTTTGCCATCCCTGTACAAATAAAATGGTTAACTTACCTGAACAGAATGGTCAGTAATAGACTCCTGTAACTTGCTGTTCATACAGACCAAAATTATATATGGACACAATATAAACATTAAGAAGATGGTTATGATCTCAGAATAGTCTGAATCCTAGTCCGTGGATGGCAGAGAAGGAAGATAAACTCTTTATTCCTTGAATTTTTGTATGAAAGCAGTACCTGTATGATAGTCAACATATTGCATTTAAAGTTCACTACTTTTCCAGAAAATATATGGAACATAACAGTAAAACTTCCATACAGCAAAAATTCTGTTTTGAAAAAGGGGGGGCTTTGTCACCTTTCAGGAATTAATTTGCAATTTCCTCTTGACATATGTTTAACAGAAGAGTTTCCTATATCCAAATTTGTAACTTTCCTCCTGTAACCACATTATTTTTGCCATGTATCAAATACTTCTGATGGCATCTGATGTCAAGTTTTTGTCTGTTACGCACACAGGACTTGCTATGGCACTGCATTATGTGTGTTAATGGAGTTATTTATTAACAGTTTGTCTTGCATTTATATTGCATGAATAATGTTGTTTGTTACTTATTTCTTACTCTCTTAATGTTTTCATTTCACACTGTTAATATATTTGATCCAGTTACATAATATCATATATGAAGACATTGGTAGATTTTTTTAGCATATTTAGCCCACGTTTTGATGATATTTCTTTGGTACTAGTTATTCATTGGAAGAATCACACATTGCAGTTAGCATGTTTATTCTGCACTTTTGTTCCTTGTTCTTAACTTTTGTAACTAAGCTGTCAATTCTTTTTCTGATGGATGAATTGGTGTTATATTGGCCTGTATTTTACAGAAAAATATATTAAGAAGTACTTAATGGAAGTTACTGGGTTTTGATGTAACAGCAGTTGGTCAGCCTATAGATCCTGCTTCAGTTATATTTGTAAAAAAATATTAGGATCTTAAACCCATTTCCAGTAT